TTCAGAGGGGTCCAGGCGGCGCGCCCTGCGACCATGCTTGGAGTTGTTGTGCACAAACATGTTGTCAGACACGGCCAGCACGTGCCCATCCACGCTCACCGTCGTGGACACCACCACCTGTGAGGAGAGTGGAGGCCAGCCTGGTTGAGGCCCTGGGGCGCTCCCTGGTGGTGGTGGGGGGACTGTTGTGGGGAACAGGCAACTCGGTGAGGGTGGGTGGCTGGATGCTGGAACTCAGAGTCATTGGCAGGGGAAAGAGCTCCCCCCAGGGGCTGAACGGTGGAAGGGGCAGGCAGCTAGGTCAAGTGATGCCCCGGGACACACGGTCTCCGGCTGCCCAGGGAGGGGAACCCCAGGAACTAGAAAAATCAAGAGCGCTGAAAGAAAACTCTGGCTCGTTGGGCAGAGTGCCTACTGTTCTTATACACACCCGCACCCCAGGCTGTATCCCTGGAGCTCCAAGGCTGGAATGTGTCTTAGGCTAGTGGGAGTGAGAGTTTTGACTGGGGGTGGGGCGGTGGGGAGGGGGCAGCATCAGCCTGAGAAGCCATCAGCAGGAGCCCCCCCACCCTCGGGAGGAAATTGGGGCTGCCTCCTTCTCTCCCTCCCACCCTTCACTGAGAGGGGTGTGCAGGTTGGGGATGTACTAAGGGCAGCTGCTCTCTGCTTCACGCTATGCAAATTAGCTGGGTCGTTAATCATGTAAAAATGTCACAATTAGCATCTCCTTAAGTGGGACTCTAATGAAGCCTCCCTTGGCAGCCAGCATAAGTTGAGATGGAGCTGCCCCACCCCCAGCAGGCACCAGGCCCTGAAGCACAGGGCTGGGCAGAGATCTGCCGTGGGGCTTTTCCCAGGGTGGCAGGACCACAGCCTTCCCCACCCGCCCCATCGGGAAAGGGTGACCGGATGCAAGGGGACCCCTCTCCCAGACCCACCTGGAAGCGGCGCATGTCTCGGGGATTCCCTGCATTCTTTAGGCAGTTCTGGTTGCACTTGAGGAAGAACTTGAGGAAGAACCTGAAACAGTATGGTGGGTGGGCTCAAGGGTGGAGGTAGGGGGTCTGGAAATGGATGAAGATCCAACTGTTCCCTTCCATGCCCCTTCCTGGCGGGGTGACTCCCCTCTGCTCACACAAGGCACACATCCCATATTCCCACCACAAGCTGCATATATACAGAGTGCCCGATACGTACTGAGTAGACCCTTCCCAGCAATTAATTCACGACACGGATTACCCACCCCCTGCCCACAAAGTATACACTCATCACGCTTATCCAAATATGTCCATTATATATATGATATATATACCCATTACTCATGAATTATCCCCACTCCACAACGTATATGCCACATGTAATATGTACTCACATTTACCTGTAGACTTACCCCACACCATGTATATTTGTCATTCTGCATGTGCATCACACATAAAAGTGCATTCACCTCACACAGCACATCCCTCCTCCTGAGTATACTAACACACACAACGTATACTCATGATAATACACCCATTATATATACCAAATATGCCTGATATACTATTACAAAATATGGCCGTCACACACAGGGTATACCCACTATACTCAGGGTATCCTTCAGAGAGCATATATGATACATATTCCACATATAGCCTATAGTCATCATGCACATATGGTATACTACTCACACACACAGAGTCTATACCCATCACGTGCAGCATATGCCCATCCTGTACAGTAGATGCACAGGAAGAATATGAAAGTATATATTAATATACCACTTTGTGTTGTATATGATTACCCAAAATACACTCACAGCAAATGCTGTGCAGTCATCACATATAGCAAGCAGATCACCCTTCCTCCTTCAGAGCAGACCCCCCCCCCAA